GAAGAGGGTTAGTGGGACTGTTCTGTGCGAAATCAGTTTATCGGGGCGTAGTCACGAGTCGACTTTTACTTTCTCGCACTTACTTCGTAAGAAGAGAATGTTATGTAATCGTGCGCAGGAAATCGGCGAATTTTTGGGCAGAAAGTTGTTTGCCAGGCCCTGGTAAAGAAAAAAGTGGATAAATCCTATTCTTGTACGTAGTAAATTCGTATCTCTAAACACGTGATGCAGCCAGATTCAATGTTTTGTGGGCCCTTCATACCGAAAACTCGATTGACTCGGCTAAACGTCGTCCCGCCCTTCTGTCAACGCTAGCGCTCGTTCGGCCGACTTTCTCCAAAATTGATATTACCCGATCGATCTGAACGAACTCGAGGCTTTGGGAGTTTCAACCGGATATTTTGATTTTTGAGGTTGCTTTACATGAACTTCGTTCTCGAATAGCGTAAATAACTCTTAAGAGAACGTTGTAGATCTCATGTTCGTTGAAATCCCAGATTTTTCGAAAATTGCAAAAGTCCAATTTTTTGGGGGTCGTCTTGCTACAACTATATTCTAGACGAGCATTTTTTTCTTAATGAAATCTCTTCTTTAAAGACATATCTCTATATAAACTGATGTTCAATTTTTCGAAAATATGTGTAGTTTTCGTGTATCTGATTCGTAACTATCAGAACTCGATCTCCAAAGGGTTTCCGATTGGGAAGCAAAGGGGTGGGGGTGAAATTGAAAACTCCGAATACTTTTTATTTTCGTACATCGATATTTTGGTATATAGACCTATCTAGATTTATTTAAGATTAGTCTCCAATGTTGTGGAATGATTACAAAATGTGCGTTTGTTGACTGGTCACATCTATTTTTCCAGTGCATTTCGCGGGAAGTATTTTCTGTGGTTTTCGAACACAGGCGATATGGTGTGTACCGGACCTTGGTTGGCATGGTGGAGACGCATATTCGGCGTAGGGAAGCATGCTTACTGGCAGAATCGGTTGGCAAAATCTTTGCCTCGTTGATACCCGGCGCGCTTGGCGGGCGCAGAAAGGAGCCGGCGCCATGCGTCGCGACGCCTCGGCGAGCGGCGCCGCGGGGATCGAGGACGAAGGCGGCGCCGGTGGCGGTGGCGGTCGTTATCGGCGCCAGATTAAGACGCCTCGCCTCGCTGCGCTTGGCGGTTCCGGGAACGGAGGTCGCGCGGTTTACGAGGGCGGAGGTCACCGCGTCGAGTGATGCACTAATCGTATGTGGCGCCCAAGGCGATGGCGGCGAGGCCCGGGAGGTGGGGAGGTTGCCACGCATTGTGTTGACGCGATGATTTCTTGGCGTGGATTGTTCAACTTGTGTGTTTTTTTTCTCTCTCTCTCCGAGTTGTTAATCGAAGTATAAATACAGTTATTTTAATTGGACGACTAGTTTTCCTGCTACGAAGTTTTATTTTCTTCGCGTCTTACGCGTTGTTTGTACGACCTTATGTCGTAATAGTTATTGGATGTTTTCATCAATAATCTTCATTTTTCATGTTATTGATAATCTAAATCAATCTGGTGGACATTTTATTTTTAAGGGGTAAATGGTTTCCTGCGTGTTTTTCCCTTAGCTTAGTGAATATCGTGTTTTTTATGATGTACTATATGATAATATTTTTGTACTGACATTCGATTATTAGCTCCTATTTTCAAACATACTGTATTTACAAATAAACTAATTTTAAAATGGGTCAGTTGAGTTGCGGGTTTGTCAACTTTTTATTAAAGAGAAGATTCACTAGCTGTAATTTCGGGAAAATAATATTGCTTGTTTGTAAACCGATCGAAGTGAATGCAAAAATAAGAGCTGAACTGTCGTTTTGTGTGTGTGTGTCTTTGCCACGGTTCGTTTTGTGTTTATGTCATTGTACAAGTATCACTACTTTGTAGGTCACATTCTGGGTGGCTCTTTGTACATTTGCTTTGATTACAGAAGGGCATTGTTCGAACCAGGTCTACAGGTTATTCTTGTGCTTTGTTTCTACAACGTTAACTGGCAAACGCAACATCAAAATGCCAACCACACTTCTGTACAGCAAGTATATAGGAAGTTAAAAACATTTTTTTCTGTTGCAAAATTTCTAGATTCTATTCACTGAAAATGTAAAGAAGCGTTGTTGTAAATATTTATTTTAAAAATCTGTTAAGGTTCATTTTACATGGGATTTTTCGGGGGGGGGGGGCTCAAACTTTTCTTTTCGTTATTTCATGGGTTTCCCAATTCTGCATATAGAGAACGATTTTACCTCAAACGGCTTCAGGACCATTACTTGTTTTTTCCATTTCCATTGTTTTCTCGCCCGACTTTCTCCCCTGGCGGGTCACAGTTTATTTGGCGTGATGTCCTTTTCTCCGATTTCTCTGGGAATTTTCGTCTTCACCGTTCCGGATATTATGAAGTTCACGATTGAACATGCCATGCTTTTTGTGTTTATTGCCAACTCCCGTGTGCATTACAATAGAGGAACAATTATTTTCAAAGATGATTCAATCTGTATTCCTTGTTATAAAATGGCCAGGCCAAGAACCGAGTGCCTGGTTATGTGTGCGAGTGTGTGTATGTGTAGGCGCGCGCTTGCCTGTGCGATTGCATGCATATATTATTGTATATTTGCTCCCTGAAAGTTAATACTTTTGGTTAGAGAGCTAGCTTCCCATGCCGCGACCCCGGGATCGAATCCTCGATGAGGCAAAAATTAAAACTGTCGCTGTTTACTGTCATGTCCCAACTGATTGAGCTGATTGACATCGCGCAAGCTTCTCACAGGAAGAGAATAAATAAAAACAAATAGTGTGAAGGGTCACGACAGACTTACCATAGGATTCCCGAGCCCTTGGTTGTCAGATTGGAACGATTTGGTTATTAATACCTATGGCACATTATCGAAGTCCGTTGGTATACCTGTCCTCCCAACTTTGGAATGTATTGCCTGATGCAATGATTCGCTGTGCGTGATTGAGGTAACTGCATTGGTCACGCGGAATTTATATTGGATATATTGGAAGCGATTCTCTGAAATAGAATCAGTGTGTTGTAATATTTGTTTAGAATGTTACTGGCCATTTCGAACAGCATGCTCTGCAAGATAAAATGTTTATACGAGATTATTTGAAAGTGATAAAATTCACATTAAGTTCAAAAATACCTGCCCTACCGGCGGGGGATTTATAATAAGAAAGAACCCGCGAGGCCAGGAAGAAGTCGAGAGAGACGTGGCTGCTCATAGCTGGCGAGATGCTGGATGTGCCTTCATCTCAGAGTTCCTTTGTACTGCTTGTGCTCATCCAAATGAATCGTATTCCAACACATTTGCCCCTCAATAAACAGGCTGGGCCGCGCACTCCCGCCTCCACCC